GTGCATGTACTCGTATGCACCATACAGTATTTCAAGTGTGCGTTTACGTGTGCGCTAACGGCGCGAGCCGGTCGCGCTTCCGGTATCAAATCGTTCCTGAAATTGAGCCGCCTCTCACGCTGAGCTGAGTTAGCGCAACAGGCCTTATACATGCACAATCGATATTCCCATAAAACTGGAATGCAAGCACCACACGAGAATAAAAAAAAAAAAAAAACGAGGCAAGCAGTTCAACTTGCTTCGCAGCGGTTAAAGATAAGCTAGATACCTCGTAGTTACGTCAGTGAGTGACGCTCCAGTGGTACGGAGAACATGGCCCTAACCGTATCAGGCACTTACAGCGAAAGCTGCTATGATATCAACACAAGGGTAGCGTGCAGCGTTGTAGCTGTCCACCGCCGCCACCGGTACCCATAACCACTATCGCACGATATAAGAGCCAAAAAAAACAACGACACAGTAGGATTCGAACCCGGGTACCATGCGTGCCAGCCAAGTATTATACCGCAGAGCAACGCCGGTGCTTCACACGCAGTTGCAAACTTGCCTTGACAGGCTTCATGGTGAGAACGGGATCGCGTTAGTATGAGTAAGAAAGCGTTTTAGAACAGCAAACGAAGAAACAGGCGTCACACAATGCGAATTAGGTAACATAGGGTCATCCAATGCTCCAACCCATTACAAAAGCATGTTCTTGATCACCTATTAACTATGACGCAATACCCACTTCGTTTGTATGTAGCCTGGAATCTACGGCACACACGCATTCTTCTTCCTATGGACGGTAACCTCACTTTCGCTTACAAAAAAAATTATATACAAGAAAAAAGACTGGCATCATCGAAAAAATAATAATGATCCGTAAGGTGAAAAATAAAAAAATATGCACTTCAGGCATAATTCTTTATTGTCGTCAGCTCCTGCATAAAAAAAATTGCACAAAAGTCCTTGCTAGTGTGTAGCATATACCACGCTTCTCCGAAGAAGGACGAAGGATATAGCATAGTGAATGGTGGCCTTGGCTACTGAAAAAATATATAATTATTTATGGCACACTCGGTACAAAGCAAGTACGCTTGTAGCAGTTAGCCAGTATAAGTGTTCAGAAAAGGCTCTGAAAATTGAATCCCGGCTGGGGCGGCTGCATTTCCGATGGAGGCAGAAATGTTGTAAGCCCGTGTGCTCAGATTTGGGTGCACGTTAAAGAACCCCAGGTGGTCGAAGTTTCCGGAGCCCTAAACTACAGCCCCTCTCATTATCATATGGTGGTTTTGGGACGTTAAACCCCACAAATCAATCAATCAAAGGCCTACTCTTCCAGCTTTCGCTGTGACTGTGCTGCTCGTTTCGCGCAGGCCTGGCAGTTTGTTAGTGCTATATAGCCGTGTCACCTTTGTTCCTTTTTGGCACGCCGCGAAAGTTGGTCCACGACAATATATACGCGTCTTCTATACTGCTAGCATGCACATCGAAACAACAATATTGTTTTTTTTTCTTGCCGACCACGTAGTACATCAATCGCGTGCGCGGACTCACTCGCAATGCATATAGCCCATTAGGTATGCTTTACGTGTGACACAAGGAAGCTTGCCTCGACGTATCGTACGCGGTAACGTACGATACGTCGTACGGAGCTTGGAAATGCACTTAGATTTAAGTCGGGCGTCGTCGTCGTCATCTGCTCCACAACGTAAGCTTTCCTGCTTTGGTTAGGTTCGCTTTTGAAAGGGCCTGTCTAGCTTGGGAGATTTTTTTTTTATTTTCAAACGGTGCATTGCGCTGCAAGTGCAGAGCGAGAATCGTGCACTTGGGCGGAAGCCAGCGACAGCGCGGCGGAGAGAAGGGAAAACGAGCGCCGTACCTCCTCAGTTTCCGTTTCTTATGTTTTAATAAAAACGATAGTCTCTCTTGGGAACCTTCACGGATAAATGTTGGTCTGTCTTTCTGGACATTTGTCTGTTTGTACGCCTTTGCCGATAGCTCAAACAGCGCCAAGCGGCCAACCCCATCCGCAGCACCCACCAATATTGCTCAAGATTCAGCGTTCATACTTTCGCGATTGTCAATTAAAAAGCAATTATTGCGCATATCTGAGGCACCATAACAACGCGTCGATGTTTTGTATGTGTGTCTTTATACTAGAGCAGGTACACAGAATTAATTTTGAGGACCGTAGTGTTTTTCACGCTGCGCTTACAGTGCAACGCGATGCTCAAAAAGGCAAGTGTTTCCAACGCTTAGCTAAGACGTCACGGTGGTGGCACCTGCCCGTCGCCTTGCTTTCTATACCATATCACCTCCGAGACAAGCGCGCACCTTTCTACACGGGCACGCACGCCTTTCTTCGTTTTCGAACTGCCAGATGGCACTCGTGTCTAACGTGCCTCGATACGCTCGTTCGCCTCCGCTACACGCTCGAGGCAATAACGCAGCGCCTCCAGAATACCATTAACTAATTTTCTTGCGCAGAACATCAAATAAGCGTTTTGTTCACTCTCTCCAGACGCAAGACTATCGCCTTTCGACGACATATGCAGTGTAACATGCAGATTCAAGGCAATTTTTGTCTCATTAATTGAGAAATCTGGTGTCGTCAGCCACGAATGGTACAAAACGTCACGTGATACTGAAAGGAACGAATGAAATAATGAAGTGTTTTACAGTGTTTCAAATTTTAAGATAGTTCTGAGAGTGTCAAAGTAGATCACATGTGTGTCATATTTTAAAATTGTTCAGAGTGTGTCTAGCTAGATCAAACTGAATTGAAGTGAGTTACAGTTGCGTAAGGCTTGTTCAGGCTTGAAGGGAGAATGAAGAGCAAAACGATTTTTCGCGTATTAGTAAAGTACAATTTGAAAATAGCAAAACACCACTCTCACCAAGACACGACGCTCAGTAAACGATAAAAGGCGCGCAAAACGAAATTCGCATGGCGACGCCACCTTGAGATTCTCGCACCAAACACCGTTACGTAAGAAATACGTAGCTTTCATTCGATAGCTTAACAAAACTTGAAACTCAGTGAGATTTCATAGGTGACGGGAATTTTGAGCGCAAAAAACCCATTGACTTTTCCAATAAATAGAAATTAAGTACACTATGATCTGTAAGTGTCATGGACTTAACATACGAAGTTTGAGAAAATTTTATCGAGCCATTGCCACGAAAATACATTTTCAAACTTGTTGCGTGTGCTCAGAGATTTTGGCTCGAAATTTCATAATGAACTTCGTCCTTGATTTTCTCCTCTAATAAAGAAATGTAATTAAGAATTGTATTGTGAACTGATAGTTCGCAAAACAATTCAATCCTTGGTCCTGAGGATACGTAAAAAGAACAGCCGAAAATAACTATATACATGAGAGACAGCTGAGATAATCCAGGAAAACTATATAAATTAATGCACGCTAGCAATACAGCATTTAAATCACGGTACCGCACTGCCTTCTCCAAAACAAGCCGACCTAATAAGCAAGCATATCCAGAACAGCACATATAGGGACCGACAACAAGCCAGAACGTGTAGTTAGATTTTGGCTGACGACCATGAAATAACCGCCATTATTGTCAATGATCATGGATAGCCATGACTATGTAGTTTTCTAAAATTAACTAAAGGTAACTCTGGCACTGCGATGGTACAGCCGCCGTGGGAAAGGTGGGTATAGTAGACGGATTTGCCTGTATATAGTCTTCGTGCTTGCGGGTTTCGAACGCAACTTCGGCTTTGCTTATCGCTGTGTTTTCGTTTCGTTTCGAATATAAGAACGAACCTTTGTGAACTTCACGAGCCGATTTGAATTGGTGAGCTTTAAAACGTCATAGGGGTGAAGCGAAATTGCAGAAACCTTGGTGAACTTTGTCCTGTGGCAAAGTGGATTCAGGCCACACGTAGCCAAACGGAGTTGAAAGAAAATAGATTGCACAAACGTGTGCCTCCCTGCTCCCTCGAGCACAGGCATACTTTATTTCGTGCGTGTTTTCTCGAGATTTTTTTGAAGTTCAACTTTATCCCTTTCACGACAGACCAGCTATGTATACTATAGCTTCCACAAAATATAGTTTATGAGAACGTCCAAAAACACTGAACACTTCACCAGAACTGAACGTTTAAGAGGTTAGTATATCTGCCTCGTGCGTTTCCAGCGAACTGCGTAGTTGTCCCAGTTAACTGCTTCGGGGCGTTTAGTCTTGTATCTTCGTGTACCAGAAGCTGTCTGTTCTTACACTTCTGGAAGGAGGATGGAATCGGGGAAACTCGTCAACTAGCTCGCCCGTCCTCAAGCACCAATCACGCTATCACACGTGTTTTCAGTACAGTATACTTCTAGTACAGTTAGAACACGGAAATTTAGACTAATTAAGCGTAAAGGTGTACTTTTGGGATAGTTGTTTTGCATTCGCTGTAGAACAGCGCCAGCGAAAACATCAGAGCAGACGCAAATACAGAATAATTAATAAGCTTTAAGTTGTCGGTGCGCCTCGTGCACGTGACTTCCTCTACATCAGGTCTGAAGGAAAGGGATGCAAATTTTGATTATTAGACTCTCATTTTGATTGTTAGACACGTACAATAATAATGAGAACTAGCAAACAGTTTATTATCTAGTTCTCGCTGGCGATGGTTTTTAAATATGCGCATGCCCCCGCTTCCACTGTCTACAGTTTGTGTCACCTCACATCGGTCTAGATTTTGATCACTTGCATCAGGGCCAACGTTATCTTTACTGGCCAGGGCCTGCATTCATAAGATCGTTTTACGCAAAACGTTTTCGTAAATGAGTGTATCAGCCGGTTAAGATAAAGGAAATATCAATAATGAAATCGGGTGACCAATGGGAAAGTTCACTTACGAAAAAAAAAAGAACTTTTACGAACTCGGCCCCAGGTTCCTGGCGGCATCGTGCACTTATATCGAGAAATTGCGCAATTACCGATTTTTATACTAAAAAAATTATGTGTTTCAATCCACGAGGATTGTAACAATGCGCTCGACTCACCGGACTCAGCTTGGCATCTTCCTCGACGTCCGAGCTTCCTCCTAGCAGCTTGTTCAGCAACCTTCCAGCGCCTGTCCTTCCGACGAGCGAGCACGACGAAATTCCTAGAAGGACCAATCTAACAAACGTCCGTCCTGCCATCGTGTCCTGGCCTACGTAGCGCACGCTATCCGCCACCGAAGGTAAAATCCCACCACTTTTCAAACTCCGACAAAGTCCCGGTTCGAAACTCGGTAACTGTCATGGCGCCTACCTGTGCCCGCTACTCAGGGGTCCTCGACTCGCACATCGAACCTACACACCACTGAGTCGATCAGGACCGAAGGAGTACGGTACACTGCCTACGTTGCGTACAGCTTGGTGGCGATGGACTTGTCGAGATCTTTCCAGGTCTCGCACTCAACCACTGGTGCTGCAGAGCGAAACAATCGAAGGCTTTGTAATCCGTCATGCCAGGCACGTGACGACTCCCACGCGTGACGTCGGACGCCGATGAGGCGGAGCCAACCAATGAGGTCTCGGTAAAGAGAGCGAGAGTGATGACGCGGCCGTTACGAGTGTGAAGGCTACGCCAAGGCCATCACGCGTCCACCTCACGAAAGAAAGCATGGGCTTCTGCGACCACGCGCATGTGTTGCAGCAGGTACGAACACCTTTCGAGCGTCACGTGGAAAGGTTGACGATGAAAATAAGAAACACGCATTGCAAGAAGAAGGTTGAGGGAGAAAAAAGGGCTGCCACTACGGGACGATGTGTCTCTCTGCATTTTATACCACTAGTTCGCCACCGATGCTGCAAGAGTGGCTTTTCTTTCTTTGACGCCACTACGGCGCGATTATCTTCACCAAGAGCGTTGGCCCCTCCTACGAACCTCCTCGCCTCCTAGCGGAGAGTGGGCGAAACTCGAAAGGAGGTCGGTGTCAGGCTGTCCTCCGGCGTTTGTGAGTACGAACTGAGGGTAAGGGCAGATGTACGTCGATATCTACTCTACGAAGCTGTTCTTCCTTATAACACACTGTTCAATCGGCACATTCCATTCGTCTGCCGACGAGTAACAAGATCAGCGTTTGATACTCTGGATTAAAATTGATCAGCTCCGTGAGTGACCAGCTCTTACGTGCTCAAGGTCAGATGAGCGCAATTTTTTTCGGCTACCTGAACCGAGCTGATCAAAGTACACCCGTTAATTAATTACGGCATTTTTCATTACGCTGCGGTTGACACGTGGTCGACAAGATTTGCATACGATCCCGCGACCACCATGCGTAGGCTACCTGAACACGGACGCAACGTAAAACGATAATCGCAGTGGATGTGGTCGTTGATATATTCTTTCTGTTTACCGATGTAAAGTTGCATGTATATTGAAGTGATGGCGACTGTTGTGTCCCTCGTTCGAGGCTGATTACCTATTAGATTGTTTGCTTTGTAACCTAAACTGTTGGTAGCTATTTTGCTACATGAATACTAGTAAAATTAATTCCTGGATGAGTAAAATAGTATATTCGGTTCAATTTAATACTACTTACATTACTCAAAACGCACACATCATGGATATTTTTCGTCGTTTATGTATGGCTCGACAAAGTAGCATGGATCAGTTTCAAAATCAGTACAGCAGAGTATTTTTAAACCCTTTTATTAAAGTTTCATGTGCACGACACTTTAAATTGGGGATGAACGTTTTGCGTGATGGCCATGGAAATTTTTAAAACTTCACAAAAATAAAGGTGAAAAGTGTAAATTTAAGGGCTCATTTTTATTGTTAGACGCAATATTAATGCGAACTGACAGTGATACAAAGGAAAGTATAAGGGATGTTGTTCAACGTAATTGTAATCTAAATGTGAAGACAGAAAGTGTATGAACAGATCAGTTGCAACTGGCAGGAACCAAACCTGCGACCTTCGAGTAACGTGCCCAATGCTCTGCCACTGACCTACGGCGGCGGCCATCACGCTGGTGGGTTGTTGTCTTTTTTCATCCACTTTTCTTCACGTTTACATTACCAGTGCGCTCAATAACATCCCTCGTACTTTCCTCGCCATCACTGTCTGTTAGTTCTCAATAATATCGTGTCTAACAATGAGAACAAGCTTTTAGGTCTACGTTTCTTTCCTTCGAAATAAAAAAAAATACAGTAAATCTTCGTCAGAAACGATCGTCGACAGCATATATTGCAATACAGAAATGTGTGTTGAAGAGGACAATGCAGATGTTATTTTATCCATAGGCACGCGAACCCGCGTGTAAGAGTCTCTTTAAAGGGACACGTTAACTAACTTTTATGGGTCCCTACTTCCCTGCGGGAGCAAAATGATCTTAAGAGTGTACACGCACCTTTAAAGAAAGTGAAGTGTACGGAGTAAGTCAAAACTTTCAGAAAACAGTCAATGAGCTCTTTTTTCCTCTCTCTCTCTCTTATGGTGTACTCACGGGCGTAGCCACAAGCCAACTCGTTCATCTTCATCGAGGGAACTGTTTGGAAGATTCGAGCCAATGCACCAGTTACGAGAGGGAAAAACGGCGCTAAACGACGTGACAAGAAAGGACGTGGGCCACAACGCGTCTTTTAGTGCTGTTTTTTTTTTTCAAACATTGTAATGAACCAAACCGGGCCAAACGCTTACCACTCTATGAAGAACGGGTGCTATTTGACTCCCTTTTGCTTTTGCTACTCTCTTTAGAGAGGCACGTTTCCTCCTTTCAAGAGAATTGTTGGAAACCTTATACTCTAAAGAATGAAGTAACCGTCTCTTTTTAAAATAAAGTTATCAATCCCACTGCACTCTTACAGAGAGTCAACGTCTCTCTAAAGAGAGTTATAGGTGTGAGGGTCTTGTGAGTAGTATAAAAAGTCAAGTCACACCTTTTTTTTTTTTTTCTTAAAGTGTACTAAAATGTGCCAGGCCTGGTAAGAACAGGTCGCTCAAGGACGTGTACCCATTGATCCCGCACGCCGGCCCACGGCCACCATGACGACCCAAAGTGAACATCGTTTCATTACCCAAATCATTAGAAGCTCTTTCTCGAACACGGCTCGCGATGCGATTCTGACCCCCGTATTCTAGAACGTCCCTTCACTCAACGCTTCACCTTCACTTGAGAAAGCCGATGGGAGCGCCGTCTCTAGGCTCGGCAGGTCACTGCATATCAGCAATAATCTGCTGCGATTCTTGAGTAGCGCAGTGTTATTTTCAGCCGAGCGGTGGCGCAGTGCTCAACTCTGTCAAGTGAAGGGTGGAAGTCGAGTCGAGGAGCGTTTGTGAATACGGGAGTAAGACACCTGCGCAAACGTTGTCTCACGCATAGCGCCAAGAGCAGCCTGAACTGACACTGTTATGACGTCGTGACGTCACGAGCACGTGTCGCGGTTTGACCTCCTCTACTTCCGGTGTCCGGGAGACGATATGACCACGCGTATACAAGACGCTTCGAACCACGGTTGCGCGTTTGAAGCAGCTGCTGGTTTCAAGTGCGAAGCCCGTGCCACCGGCAGTGACCGTTTCGAGCGAGTGACGCCAAATAATGGCGACTGCTTTGATATCTCGTGTTGCCGGCTCCACCCCAGAAATTATGAAAGGAGGCAGTGCGCGTGTGCCCGTAAAAAAAGACACTTCTTCGTTTCCCTGAATCCTTCTGCTGCTCGGTCAGCGTGGCTAAAAGCTGAGAACGATAAGGGGAACGTGGAGACGTCTTCACGGGCATTTGCCGTTCAGAACGACGGCTTGCAGCTCGCACGCAAAACATAACCACATGAATGGTGATTATGAATATGATGATGCTACGTCACTATGACGTCGAAATGTTATGCTAGGCTAAATAATATATATGTACTAAAAGGCAGGGTACTAAAATGATTGATTTGTGGGGTTTAACGTCCCAAAACCACTATATGATTATGAGAGACGCCGTAGTGGAGGGCTCCGGAAATTTCGACCACCTGGGGTTCTTTAACGTGCACCCAAATCTGAGTACACGGGCCTACAACATTTCCGCCTCCATCGGAAATGCAACCACCACAGCAGAGTACTAAAATGTCATGAACCATTGTGAATGAAGTTGCAATTTTAAAAAAAAGGTGAAGGAAGTGTGTATTCAATGTATACAGGAGCAACCCATATGATGATGGCGGAGAAGCAACACATCCAGCTTCTTGTCCTATTAATTCATTTTTTTTTTCAATTTTCTTGCTTTTGTGTACGTGTGTTCTTCGGGTTTCATATCATGAAGATGGTATAGGCGGCTTTAACGTCGCCTGCATTACCATGCTTGACATATATGAATAAAAAAATTACTACACGAGCATTATTGGAGTTTTAATCTTCACCGCCTTGTTGAAGCATTCTTTCACGTCCATTAGCTTTTAACAAAATTATGCTTGTTGAAAATACGTGCTATTGTCCACTGCAATCCCGTGACACGACCAGTGCCTAACTGGCAGACCATTTGATCAAGCCAAAAATACAATGATAGACATTGCTTATATTCGGGCGCATATATCGGTATATTCAAGTGTTGAATTCACAGCATCACACTGAGCCGGTCTTTTTAAATGTGAAGCGTTTTCCCGTCGCATACTGCACGTACTTTGAGCGTATTTATCTACGTATCTATCTATTTAGCCACCTACGTCTGGATCCTCTCATGAGCGCCTCTTTAACTTGAAATAGACCAAAATTTATATGGGAGGGTAAGACAGTTTGAGGAATACGAATGTCTGGTCATGGCGTTAACAGCCTGAAAATTCCGTCACGTAGGTCGTCCAACTCCTTCCTGCACACAAGTGTGGCACACACTTGTACACCACGAGCCGCAGTGTGTGCGTATGCGCCCCATCTGATTGAAAGTTTATATCTACCCAGAAACGGCAAGAACATAAATTGCTAATTTAAATGTGACAGCGTTAATAAAAACTGATATCGGCAGCGTTGGCCCTACTAAAGCAACAACAAATATCAGGGTCCCAACTAAACTCTAACCAGAGCTTTCTGCATCGCAACCAAGTATTCTAGCTCAAAACCACGTCAGGTCTGAAAACTGTTTGGGAAAAGCGTCCTAGGCAGGCGCGATGTTCGTAAAACGTCAGTTGTGGTTGCCGGACTGGCTATCTCATTTTATATAGATTAGATATTTACGCC